GAAATTCTTTTATTTGGAAAATCGATTTGAGAGTCATTGAAATTTAATTTTATCAAAATATTCGAGCATGAAAAATGTGAAACTATTGGAGGTCTCATAAAAATAAAATACCCTTTGCAACACGACTTTATTTGGCAGATTGAAAAATCACCTAATTTTAACACATTTCATTGACAGATTGGCCACTTACCATAAAATTACACTCACTCCTCGAAACCATAAGTCTAAGTTGTTTGTGAATAATCTGTGTTTCAAATTGAGATGACGATAGTTCAAGTAGGGAAAATAAATAACTTATTATTCGAATGTAAAACTCGCAAAAAAAGTGATATTCAAATTTACTTTGAATATATCATTTAAATTGATTGAATGACTTTATACGGAAAAATGACAATAATTGAGTGACTTTTCTATCACAAAACAAAGAACAGTAAAAATGACTTTTTGAATAATTGACACCTGCTATATAAATTCTCAGTAGTCAAATTAAAGATAATGTGATCTAGAAATTTATTGGCTTAAGACGTGGAGTTGTTGGATATAGTCCATTACTTTAAAGATGAAAATGAGAACCAAACATGTTTGTATTAAAATGTAATAATAAAACTATTCTGGCCACTTTGACTAAGTCATTGGATGACAGAGAATTGTTGGCTTTTCATTTTTTAAAAGAGCTTGAAAATAATTTCATACCATCAGTATGTAACGAAAATATAACTTGAATTGATTATGTGACTTTATACGTGAAATGACAATAATTAAGTAATTTTTATGGAACAAACCAAAGAAAAGTGACTTTCCGAATAGTTGAGTGATTATGTGAAAAATCAAACTCTTAGACATCTACTACGTACATGAATTAGAGATAATGTAGCCTAGAGTTTTATTGATCTAAAATTGAAAATTATTGGATATAATCCACTACTTTAGAGATAAGAATTGAGAACCAGACATGTTTGTATCATACGTTAAAAGTGGTCATGACCGATGTCTAATAACAAAACAATTTTGGCCACCCTGACTAAGTCCTTGACTGAAACAACTCAAAATTTGACTTGAGAATGACCATATTTTCTATGATAGCAACCAAATGTGCAAATTTGAAGGAAACGCGTTTTAATTATTCTTTGCAGAAACAATCTTATGTAGCTTACTCGCTCTATCTCAATTTATAATGCATTGTTTGAATTTTCAAGAGCCATCCTTTAATTTTTATTGTAAATTCAAGCATGCAGTATTTAAATTTTTAAAATAAAATTTATATATTTAAAAACTCTGTAAAAATTACTATAAGTCATAATAATTGATCCACAAACCATCTTCTAAGTGGTCGCGTTTAAAGTGAAGAATTAGAGTTTTTAATATTCAAAAACCATCCTCGGAGGTTGACATAGCTTAATCTATCTCTAATAAAACACTATTAAGAAATTCCTTTTATATATTTGTAAACTCGATTTGAGAGTCATTAAAATTTAATTTTATCAAAATATTTGAGCATGAGAAAGTTAAAACTTTTGGAGATCTCATAAAAACAAAATACCCTTTGCAATATAACTTTATTAGGCAGATTGAAAAATCACCTAATTTTTACACATTTCATTCAAATTGAGATGACGATAGTTCAAGTAGGGAAAATACATAACTTATAATTCGAATGTAAAACTCACAAAGAAAAAGTGATATTCACATATATTTTTTACCATTATGTCATAATTTTCTTTATTCATTTTTCAAAAGTTCCACATCATGAGCCATCAACATCTAGCAAGTCCCAATAAAATAAAACACCCTTCCCAACACGGCTAAGACAGATTGAAAAATGACAACATTTTCTAAAAGATAAAAAAAAACAACCTAAATTAGTAACAAAAACACTACGAATCATGGTAACGCCTAAGACTAAGAATTGTTGGATATGATCCACTATTGTAGAGATGAGAATTGAGAACCAGACATGTCTGTATCATACATTAAAAGTGGTCATGACCGATGTCTGATAACAAAACTATTTTGGTCACTTT